CTCCACAAAGTCCACCACATCATCCTGGGCTGGGCTTAGGCCCTTCCCCTTGTGCCCAGGCCAAGAAAGCATCCCTTCACATGGGATGGGCTCTCAAGGTCCCTTCTTACACCAGGGAAAAATACTAATCCACTACCAGGGGCCCCCTAGAGTGCAGAGGCCTCCTCATTGACATCCATGTCCAGGGGTCTGGATCAGTCCTATGCTGGCCTCCCAGACAGCATCTGGGGTCGATGTGTTCCCCCTTGTTCAGGCCAGCTGTTTCTGTGGGTTTGTACCTGGTACTGACCCCTTCGCTCTTCATTCCTCCCTCTCTGCAACTAAGTTCCAGAGTTCAGTTCAGTGTATATCTGTGGATGTCTGTCTCTTCTTCCATCAGCCGCTTCCACTTTTAAAAACATTTGTTTGTTTGTCCGTTTGTTTGTTTGGGGGTTACATATACCAGAGTACTCCTATGGAAGTCTGAATGGTCAGTCTTACTGTGAAAGTATGTTTTTGTTAAACTATGTCAATTAGAAATATGACTGCTGGCTTCAGGTGCTAGCCAAAAGGGAATAAAAGGGACAAGGTTTTCCCATCTACCATAATAAACTTAACAAGACCCTGGACATCAACCAATGAAGGGCAGTGACTGCTGAGAGATGAGAAATAAGCAAAGTGGGCCTGTGAGTGCTGTTGCTTGTTGCTTCCTACCTCAAAGGGCCTTCCAGGAGCAAACAAGGCCAGCACCCTCCCCAGGGAGAAAGGACTCAGCCTTCATCATGAGGATAGCTTAGTGAGCAGACAGCTTCTTGAAGTGGAGTCAGGCAGAGAACTGAGCAAGAAACCCAGAAATGACTGTTACCAGTGGCCACAACCTTTCCTATAGTTGCTGATATACTATGAACATCACTGCCCTCTGTATTCACAAAATTGTAATACTGTGTAAACCTTGAAGTAACTGGTCAAATAACTTCTCAGAATTATGTCAGTAGACCAATAAAGGAGAAGTGTATCTGTAAGAATACAGATGAAGAAGAAAGGGGAGCAAGGGAGAGATGGTATGGATAGAAACAGGCAACAGATGGGATCACAGCAGAACTCAAACTTGATATGAATACTCTACCTATTCAAATCCACACAGGGTTACACAGCTATTTAACATAAAGACACAGGGTTAAAGTATAAGAATGGAGAAGTGTCATAAGAAAGGAGAAATGGCATTTTAACGTGACTAAAAGGAGACTTCAGAAGAGTTACCAGCTAAGCAATGAGCACTACTATCATAATTACAAAGGGCTGGTT